TGTGTGTGTGGAGTAATAAAACATCCCCAAGCCAGGGGGTATAAAACATCCCCAAGCCAGGGGGTATAAAATACCCCCAAGGGGGGAGATCAAACATCCCCGCGCCTCATGGCCTGGGCTGTCCCTCCTGCCGAAGTTGGAGGCAGCGGCAGGACAGTCGGGGTTGTGCCGGCTCCGCGGCGCGGCAAGAGTTAAAAGTTACCTTTCCTGTCTCCTGCCCGCAGCCCCGATGGGGAAGGATGATGTAACCCCCTCCTCACCATGTGACACTTTAATTAATAATCGCGCTCGGCACAACAACAGCACAGCGCACGTTCCCGCCACGCCGGCCGCTCCCGGGGTCTGGGCTGGACAGGCCGGGCGCAGCGCAGCCATGTGCCCCTGCGCGCTGCACGGCGGGCCCCCCGCCGCCTGCCTCTGCAGCTCCGCCCGGCGCGGGGAGCGCTTCTCCGGGGCGCAGCTGGTGGCGGCCCGCCTGAAACTGGTCGGCGATGAGTTGCAGGAGCGGACCGCGTGGCGGAGGGCGAGCAGCAGGCGGGCTGCGGCCGGGAGAAGCCTGGCCACCTACCTGTGTCTGCTGTGCGCCGCCACGCAGGTGGCCGCGCTGGTCTGGCTGATCCGCAAGAGGAGCTGGTAGGGACAAGGGCTCGGGCAGGAGCTGAGAGCAACCGGGAAGAGCAACAGGTAGGGACCCAGCTCGCGCGAAATCAGCAACCCGGGCGGGGGGTGTCGGGGGCGCTTTGCAAAATAACCGGGGCCGGTAACAGCTCTTGGGGGAGGAGGGAGCCTTGGGGTGATGTCCAGGGACAAAGGCTGGAGTCTGCAGCCGCTGCCGTCCGCTTCTCCTCCTTCACCGTCCCCGTCTGCCCCGCAGCGCAGGGCTGGCTGGTGCCCCAGGCTGGGGGAGGCTAGTCCGGGAGAGACCCGCGCCCTTCAGCTGGCCCGGGGGCACTTATAAAACGGGGGCTGATGCCAGGGCGGTTGACAGCGCAGGGGAGCCCAGCGAGTAACTAGCCGAGGAGATCAGAGGGGCAGGGTCCTTATCCCCATTGTACAGCGGAGGAGACTGAGGCACAGATAGGGCGAGAGGCTCGGCCCCAAAGCACACCGTGCCTCGGGGCAGAATCTGGTTGGAAACTTTACCCCCTCTCCCCCCTCCCCCCACACACACCGTCTATCAGTCCGGGCGCGGGGTGGCGGCTGGGAGCCAGTCCCGGGTGCGCACGCTGCAATCCGGAGCGGAGTGTTTGATGAAGCTGATGTAAGGGGCTCTCTGTCAGCGCTTGGCACGGCAGCCAAACTCACCGTCCGCCTGATCCGCAGCCAGCAACGGGCTCCAGCAGCACGTTCCGCGCTGTTAATTACAGTTGGTGGACGCTGGAGCGGGAAGGGGGCGGGCATGGAGTTGGGTACCCAGGCCTCTGCAGGCGGGGACGGCTCCAGCTGCTCCACGGGCGGCCACACACCAGCATGGGCTGTGTTGTCCCACAGGTGTGTCATCCGTTATCGCTCAGTCTCCTCGTAGGATAGTGGAGGGGGCGGGAGGTTGTCTTGTAATGTAGCAAACCTTGTACTGAGCAAATCCCCAGACCGGTCTGTTCCTTCTCCCCGGAACGCCGCCGATCCGGGACGGCAGGTCCCCAGCTCCCCCTGTACAGACATGAGCCCACGTTCACTCTTTGACTTGGAAAGCAGGGCTGCCCAGAGGATTCAGGGGGCCCGGGGCAAAGCAATTTCAGGGGCCCCTTCCATAAAAAAAAGTTGCAATACTATAGAATACTATATTCTCGTGGAGCCCCCTGCGGGGCTTGGGGCAAATTGCCCCACTTGCCCCCCGCTCCTTCTGGGCAGCCCTGTTGGAAAGTTCCGAGGGGCAAGCTGCGATTCGGTGAGGTCTCGTTAGGGGTCCAGCTTCCCACCAGCAACTGGCTGTGGTGACCCTGTTTTTAAGAACCGCCCCGGCGCTTCCAGTTTGTTGCTGTTTTGGGTTATTCGTCTGAACGTTTCTCTTCCCTTTTATAAACCCGGTGGTGACCCCTTGGCTTGAAACCTCCCACCCTCTCCCCAGTACAATGCAGAGTGAGTTGCTGTGTGTTCGCTGTACACTCCAGGGCAGGTTAAAAACGCAGGTGCAGATGCTTGGCACCAAAGGGCAGCTCCCTCTGAAGTGGGTGTGGGCTCACGGGACGGGACAGTGCCACTCATTTAAGCTGCTCCGCCAAACGGAAGGTGTTTGACACACAGTTTTCACGGTCTTTGCAACAGCCCCAAAA